AAAAACTAGAAAGCCAAAGTCGAGATGGAGTGGGGTTAGGCGCGCTTACCGCAACGGTGTTAAGAATGTACTGGTACGGAATATCCACATTCAGCTTCTCACGGGCTGAGCACCGGGAAGGGTAATAGACGCAGTAATGATTGTTGTGGTGCCAAATCAGATAGCAATATATAAATCCCGTGATAGCCGACGCCCCAAGCTGTAGAAATCGCAGGATGAAAAAGACGCTGAGGATAGTCTTTTGCAAACGTGCCATTTTCTTCTCTCTCTCTCTCTCTCTCTCTCTCCCTCGATAGCTGGGCGGAGTAAGACGCAGGCAAGGCCAGGTGCGGAGGGTGTGAGGGGAATGGGAGAGTAGAAGTATCCTAGCTGAGCTATCAGTCTTCAGCTCTGGGCTGCTGCAGGGCTATCCTGAGTGGTTGGTTAATTTTGGGCTTATGCTTAGGTTCGCTGAGGTGTCAATATTGAAATGGTGTGGTTTCCTTTGTTTTTTTTCTTGGTTTTGTTTTTTCTTTTTTTTCTTACTTTTTGACATTGCTTCGCCCGGAACGTGGCGGATTGGAGAGTCGGCTTTGTTGGTACATTATCTCTCCCCACACCGTACCAGGATGGCGAATTTTAACGTTGATTGCTAGGTTTCCCGGTGCAAGTGATTGGGAGCGCGGTCGTGGTTAACATTTGTGGCGCTAGCCTGAATTTGGTAGCGATCCAGTAATAAATTAGTAGCCGTGATTGGCAGATTGGGTTGGGGGTCAGGTACGGTGAGACTTTGCGAAACTAGTCAATCTAGTTGTGCTCGAGTAGTAGCCGTTCCTGTGCCCGACTAAGGTACCGGTACCCTGCCCGTGCTTAAGTGCATTGCGAGTCTCACTACGCCGGTTCTTCGCGGTTCGGGCAGGAGATTCCTAGTTCATGAACTGCGGACTGGAAAGATGACCTTCGGCGCTCTATGCGTGGTTTGCAAGATGATTTGGTGATTCAGAGATCGCCAGTATAGTGTCAAGCTCGACAGAACAAGAAAGGTGCAATCGCTAGTGTCGAAAGTTCTTCAAGTTAACAGAGTCCTACACTTTAGAACTCCGGCTCCGGCTCTCTCCCCGCGGCATTATGCTCTTGTTTATAGATTTGTCAAACCAGCGGCGGGATTACATCGTGAGCCAGGAAGTCTCACCACGTGCTACGATGAGCCCCTCCCAACCCTAGGAGTGAATGTATCAGTAGCACACCGTGAACTGGGCTAAAACGCGAATCTTAACACGACTGGGCAATGGGATAAAAAGGGCCAAGCATACCTCAACCCCGGTAGCACTTTATGCAGGCCATCAAAGACTATCTCTCTTTCGTATGGCGAGTGCTGGGTGGCCAGTAGCTTTTTGGAGCTATCATTGGTGCCTGTTCTTATCAGCTATGCCGAAGCAATCGGAAGAGTTCAATGGAGCCGGATTTGGATACCGGTACCTCTGCGTCACCCTTTTGCCCCAAAGGTTGAAAAAAATACTCATGAAGTGCACATTCCCTTCAAATTCATAACAAACATCCCCAAGGGCTCTAGGATATGAGCACTGCATCCCTGCTTACCAATTTCTTCAAAGGAATCTGGCTGAACGGTGGCTCAGACCCGCACCTCGTTTTCACCTAATATATCTCGTGATCCGTCGCCTACGAAGCGGATACGAGCCTGGCTACTGTCCTTGGAAAGTACACTTGAGATATCTCTGTGCCTAATTCATAACCCAGCTTCCCGACGCGGGGTTCGGAGATGCCCCTCGATCGACACGAGAAATTGCCCGAGAGTTCCGCGATGCCGGGATTATTCGGTCATAGGGTTTTTTGCGTTCAATTCCTAGCTTACCATCATCGGCACCGTTCCGGAGAATCGGTTTCCCCGGACCGCGGTAAAACAGCACTGTTTCTTTTAGCGGTAGTTGGTGCCTAAGGGCTGTGATTGATAGATTTTCGTTTGCGAAACCCAGCATTATTCTCGTACAAAACTAGGAGAATAGATGTAACCAAACAACGGCGGAGCCACGGGTTAAATGTGAAACTTGACGGGGCGGCACAGGGCGGCAACCCACCGTGATATAGAAACAAGGAGAGGGTCGCTAAAAACAGAAGGTTAGAGAAGCAATGTTAAACAGGGGTTTCTTCGGAAGAGGTTCTTTTATGGAGCCCTGCAATCCTAAATTCAGCATGTCGGATGTCCAGGGGAGGAGAACATGATGGGGGATGGTCTATCTATCATAGGTTCTCACTCGCCAGCCGTGATTTGACTTCACCCGAGTGGGGATTGATTGCGTGAAGAAGGCCCCGGGGTAGCTTTACACCGGTAGCCAGGAAGCCAGCCAGCACGGTACCTCTCAATCTCTCGAGAATCGGGGAAAGGAATTCTGCCAGGTCACCGTGGTGCTGCACCGATAGAGACTCGCCGGCGCCGATGCCTAACCGCAACGCTTTCGAGAGCAGAGAACCCCACAATTCCTTCCGTGCTGGGAATCGCTCACGGGTGCTGTCCTCAGTGTTGTATTTAAAGACCAGACATGAGAAGGAAACTCCTTCATAACACCGTCGGCCAGGGGCGCTTGTACCTATGACGTCATATTTTGGTATGCGATCGGGTCCGACCACTAAGGACCTCTAGAGGATGGCAATGACAACACGAATTCCCATGACATCAAACTATATTACTCAACCACCGGTGATCAACAGAGGGCCTTATGTAATTCACCTAGAAACCGTGATTCTGATCGTGTTTTCCCGATCTGGGTTCTCTATATAACCCTTCGAGAATCCCGTTTCCATGGCCTCTATTCCGGAGCCGAAGACGTGAGCACAAACACATTCGATTATAATACGCTTTATGATCCGCAACTTTACACGGGCGGTTCAAGCATTGTGCAAACGCGCAATGTCTTCCGCGAGGAATAACGCAGGAAACTTCGCCAATCTTCCCGCGGGGGAAGTACGAGCAATTGCCTCAAAGGGTGGTGGAGTCTCCTGGGAACACCACCGGCACCGGCAATAACGCGACGAGTTGCCAGGTCGTGGGAACCCAGGAAACTTTGCGAACCGCCCCAAGGAGGAGGTCGGAGAGATCGCATCTATGTGAGGGGAGGCCTAGCATCTGGTGGGTTCGCCAACATGGACCCTGAGTAGCAGGTAAGTGCCGCCATATATCCCTAGGCTCTGGTCTATAATTCTAACAATGATACGGAGGGAGGCAGCAGCCAGGGGCGGCAGGATCGCCCAGAAGCACCGACACCAACAGCAGCACCAGAGTGAATACCAACCCGGCCACGGGGACTTTGCAAATCATCCGAGGGGGGAGGAAGAGGTCATGAGATAGCTACTAAGAGTGAGGAGCTAGCCGTGAGAATGACCGGAGGGACTCCATTTTTAGAGGGGCGCTATATCCGAGTTGTGGGAATGATGTCCAGTATTTGTAGCTGGCGGATGAAGCGCACCGATAACGAGTACGAAGAGCCTTTACTACTAATCAACATTTTGCTTGACAGCTTCCTCTCCACTCTACCCCTACCACGCTCCCGAGGGTAGCGGAAAGTGGGGACCGAAAATAGCTGACCGAATGGGAAGAGTTCTAGGGTGGGGGAGAGTGCCAGTGATGGAGATAATCGTAGAATCTAAACCATTGAATTTGGGGTACCATGAAGTCCAAGGTATCATACGGCGCTCGCCACGGGGATCCTCGCCTCGCTCAAACTTGGGCTCGGCACCTCTCGAGAATTCCAAGAGCGCCCTCGGAGATGGAAAGCATCAGGAAGGGGGTTGACAAACATCTTCAGAGTTGCATGATGCAATTTTCAACCGTGCCTGCTATTCACCCCAATCCCCCAATCCCCCCCTTCTTCGTGGTCCGATTACGAATAGCATATCTTCACACTCACCGGCATCGCCATTGAGGTGCATGTGCTGTACGCTCGTAGACCAAAAATCCCCAAGACCTGCTGCCTCTAGAAGTGCTAGGGAGGTGCGCCATAGTACGAGTAGAGTACTGTACGGGTGTTGGAGGATGATAGGGCTATTATGGAAGTACAGTACAGTGCTGCAGTAGTGTGATAACTTGTGCTGCTTTGTCTGCTACACTTCCACGGTATCGGTGGTTGCGAGATTGGTCGTTGCTGCGCTCTCCCGGATGGAAGTGAAGAGGTGCGCATAATACAATTGGCTCGTGGGGTCTTCACCCATGTTTTGTGTGGGTGGATGGGGTAGGTAACTTGGCAAGTTATCATACTGAAAAGGATAAATTCTAGAGTGATTTTTCATGTTTACGAATGTTGTCCGAGAATTTAATGTTGTAAACCTGGGGTCCCAAATGACTGGGCAAGGAGCTCTCAGGCCCCCTACGAGAATTGTGTTCGCCCAAGAACCGCGAAATACCGCATATTTATTCGACTTGTCATTATGGCCTTCGCCGCTAGATATGCACTCCAACTATCTATAACCACAAAACTGCAGATTTGGTATGCATCCACGCTTAGCAAGACCCTCCAAATCAAAAAAAAGGATATTGGTATATCTCTTAGTGGGGGAGAAAAGAAAGAAGGCAAGAGAAAATAAAAAATAAAAAAATCTACCACTCCACCGAGACGGCGACACCAGCCCCCGCCTCTAAATCATCCACATTCAACAAATCCACGCCAGCACCCACCAGGTCCCTCCAAACCCTATTTCTAAGGCTCACCGGCCATCCTGGTAAATCCCAATACCTGACAAAAATCCCCTTCTTATGCGCCTCCTCTACCTGCCTCTTGACCATTCCCCTTTGCGTCGCATTCAACCCCTCATGCCCCACTTTCCCGACTGTGGAAGATAGCTGCGCACTCGCGACTGGTGAAATCACCTTCGTGATGTTCTGTGAATCGAGTGTCCGTAGCACGCCATCGAAGAAGTAGTCCCTCGTGGACAACGGGCGGATAGCGTCTAGGGGGGTGGATCCGGTTCCTATCACCGTCACTGGGCCGGGAATCAGGACGTCGTCTTGTATGGAGGCCAGGTAGTCTAAAGCCCGAAGTGGGGCTAGAGCTTTAACGACTGCGGGCCAGGTTTCCTTGCCCGAGGTTTTGAGGTCGACGAAGAGGAATAGGGTTTGGCTGATTGAGGTGTCGAAGACGCCGCTGGTTGTGCTGCGTTAGGGGATGTCCACGAAGAGTTAGGGGGGTAGGGGGGGAAGAGGGACTTACTTCCGCGTTTTAGTGTGCGCGAAGCACGAGGTCGGATTTTGCTTTGTGAGGATATCAACAAGAGGGTTTATGTACAGGTTTTCGAAGGTGCGATTTTCAGTTAGGGAGGAGGTGTCGTGGCCAATCTTGGGTTTCCGGTTAGAGCTATATCTTGAGAGGGGAATTAAGTTTAAATACTTACGTACAATGTTTCGTTAAACAGCCAGACATCTGCCTCCACTGATATCGCCCCATTGGCAATTGCTGTTCGCCTTGGTCAGTCCGGCGAGTTCTCCCTCTTCTTACCGGTGAGAGGGTATGCACTTACCAGAGTACAATGGAACATCCCTCCAATAATCATTATGCGAATGTATTCCTTTCTACACTCACAACCCCCTCCCATAGGTCAACCAATCCCACTATCAGTAGCCTGAGAAGAAAGAGAAAACATACCGGAGTAATACCCCTGGTGAAATCCGTCGGGTACCTCGCATACGGGCTATCCTTCCACCCATCCAGAATCTCCATGATCCCAGACCTGGCTCCCGCCATCCCCGCCAAACCGGCCCCGAGCCCAAGAAGCGTTGTGGACCTCATCGCGACTACCAAATCTGCGCAATTGCCTCAAATAATCTTCTTTATGGAGGGGTGAGTGACGGGGCAAGAGGAAGGGTCCGATGAGGAATATTTTAGACTATGACACTTGAGCAGCAGAAGCACCGCGGAGCCCCCGTCCATTGCATTGAGGGTGGGGCCTCCGCATGGGTGAGACAAGACACGTGGACGGGCTTGAGCGGGCTAGTTTATCCCTGGTACAGTTCAATTGATACTGGAGATCGTGCCGTTCCTGGTGGGGATGCCGCCAGTATCCGGACAAGATCGTACCAGGAGCGGTGAGCTGGGCTGTGGTAACTTTAGTTCTTTCGGGGTGCTGCGTGCAGTGATGAACCCCACAGATACTCGTATCGTACTATACCGCTACTCGAGTGCTCGAGTACATCCCTTTCATGGGTGCGATAGTGGATGGAGTATGTGTGAGGTTCCGGGCTCGATCCGGATGCTTTGAAAACCCTAACCCTACTGTAGTGTCAGGGAATTTTTTTCCTGCTCAACCGGCCCAGTCGGTTTGGCCCTTCTTGACACGAGGGTCAGCGTCGGCTAGGCGGGAGTTCGGAGTTATTGTGGTAGGCTGGTAACGGGTGATATCATTATTAACAAGGGCTCCAGGGTTATAGTATGCAGTTGTTTCTTCAGAGTTGCCCCCCCCCCCCCACTTTTTTTCCCTTTTCCCCAGGGACAGGTCGAGAAGAGTGGACGCTTTTGGGGGTTGTGGATAGGGTCACCGTGGTTGCCCAATGATAGCATGTGAATACCATACAGTATGATCACTGTATTATAAATAGATTTTAGCTTCGTTGACTTCCCGGCTGGGTTGGAGATGAGACATTGACGACTTCTCGGCCGGCCGAAATCGTCGTTCAAGCCCGGAGCTAGTTCAATTGGGAGGAGTTTCCGAAAGGGAGGACTAACGTCGTGCATACTCCGGTGTCCGGGGGCTAAGCGGTGAGAGCTTCGCGTCCCATCCGAGCTGCGGAAGTCAAGCTTTTCATCGCTCGGTTAGTACTACAATGGAGATTGTGTGGGAATCCCGGATGCTGAACTCACTGCGATAATATTTGTCCTTTTTCCCTCCGCTGGACGCGAGCCTCATATATCTTAGAACTCACAATATTCGTGCCCAAGATTTTGGTTCAATTAAGATGATAGCTTCGGGGATATTTAAAGCAATCACCTTCATTGACGATGAAGAAGATTCAGATTCAAATAATGCTGATAAACAATCCTCTGGCTATTACTCATGATATTCCTTGCAGCTACAAACTCCAAATACTTTCACTACAGAACCGGGAACCCAATAATCCCGAATCTCCGCTATCCCGCAACTCCCTGGTGAAGAATCAATGAATCTTCTTTCCCCTTGGTAGTCCAGTAGTCCGCTTCCCCGCCAGCTCCGGAAAAATACTCCCGTCGTAAATCCCTCTCACATCTTCCTTTCTCAAGATTCCGTCCTCGGGCCAGAGTAATAAATATGTAGCAGTCCCTGCGTCCCAACCCCATTAATCCCTCAATGCAATGCACACGAGACATTATATGAGAGCACTCACACTCGAAAGCCTCTGCCGTCCAGCCAAAAAAGTCTGCTGCACACCTCTGTGCGCTAATGCCATCCCAAATTTGCCTTTTGCTAACCCTCTCCCCATCCCCGTACTTTGCAAAAAAGTCCTCAAACTTCTGTGGCACGAACCGTCCTTCGGAATCGTAAGTCCCGGTATCACTGCCGTGCTTGCAACGGTATATATTCTTTAGATATATCCTGAAGAACGGGTCTGGAACTATCCCATCCGTGGAGGCCCATGAGAGAGCCCCGTGGATGAGGACCATGGATATCGCAGAGAGGATGACGCCGAATCCAATGGCGCGAAAACCAAGGTATGTATCGCGCGGCCAGACTATGTCGTCTCCATCCGGGTCCCAGAATGCACAGTGCTGGTGGAGGACGGATTGGTGAGAGTGGGATTTGGCCCAGTTGTCTTTTGTGGTCCCGTGGGGTGCAGTGGTTGTTGGTGCTATGTTCGCTCGGGGGGTTCCTAGAGAATCGTGCATCAATTAGCAAGGTGAAGGAGAGAAAGAAGGGGAACGAAAAGCGGGGAGGAAACCAGGGTTGGGGACAGCCTCCAAGTCCTTCTCGCTGGGCACATATGGCGTTCGAATCTTCGTGACGGGGCATTCAGGAGTTGCGTATGGGATGTCTGCGTTCTTCCCGACTTCAGTTACACCCGAGACCTTCCCAGTCGACATCGTGGTGGGAGAGTGATGTTTCGAGGCAGTATTCTGAGGGTGTGCTGTACCGCAGGGGTGGGTTACGATATGTGCGATCTGGTATGGAGGGTAGGTAGGTATTTCGTCAGATTATATAGCCCTTTCACAACCCTATCCCCCCCTCCATCCTTCTCCCCTATGTCTGGTCCACGGATCCTAGTGCCACGGGCGGAATACGGTAGAGGGGTGGGTGTCGAGGCGGGGGAAAGAAAGGGTGGCTATGGCGGAGGGGATTTCGATGGGAGGGCGCGAAAGTGGGTGACGGTTTGACGTGATAGGGGATTACCACATGCAAAGCTCTTGTCTTGAGCCTCGGGTGTTTTCTCCGTTTTCTTGGGTTGGGTGGGAGGTAGTCTACGAGTAGAGCAGGAGAGGGAGAGTGAAAGAGAAAATGGCAAGTGGGTGGGCTAGTGGGTGACGTCAGGCGGAGAAAGGTTTTTCCTAATAATTCGTGTGGAGGCGGACGGCTCCTTTAGACGTCGAGGATAACTAATACATACCGGTAGTGGGGCAACGGGCGGGTGCTCCAACTGAGTTATCGTATAATATAGCATGATAGAATGCGTACCATACTCGAGTAAGCGATTGGATCTCACACGGAGGAGGCTTTTCCCCTGTTGACAGTTAATGTTAACTTGACCTTGGCTTGGGGTTGGAATACTCGAGTATGATACGAGCACTAGTACGAGTAGATTGAGATCAGGGAAACTGCGGGCTGACCTCACTTAAGGTATGCTTATTCATACTCTAATTAACCTCCACGCCCGCGGCTGCGATAGGTTAGCGAGGGGAGATGGGATTGCATGCTCAAGCTAATTTAGATGCCGTACTGTACACGTAGGAACCTACTCATAGTGTGTCACTGAGACGGGAGCGTTTGCATAATATGGCCTTCAATAAACAACGTTAAGAGTCATAGACATTCTCTGGATGTCGCGATAATGGGATGGTATCAAAGAAAGAAACAAAAAAACACAACAACCAGTCCTAGGCCTTCTTCCCCTCAACCATCTCCAGAATCCCGTCATACTCCGGAAACCACAGCCTCGTCAACCCAGCAACATACTCCCGGAGCCTCTCCTTCCCCAGCACCATATCCATAAACTCTCGATTCCCCTTCCCGCACCCCAACCCGTTCACAAGGATAGCATAAACGTCCACATCCACAATCGACGGTCTGTCCCCATGAAAGTACTTCACCCCCTCCAACTTTGCATCTAGCGCATCCACCCACTCCTGAATGAGCGTGTCGATCTCCTCGTTCGTGTGCCTCCCTACCCCAGAAGTCCACAACGTACTCGTGATTTTCCAGCCCAGGTACCATCCCACGATCGGCTTTATCAATGCCGGGGCAGGGAGACGAGCGCGAGTAGTGGCGTAATTTTCCGGGCGCGCCCAGCGTGTGTGCGCGACGGCTGGGTAGAGAGTTTCGTCGGTGTACCCGGTCCAAGCGCGGCTGTCAGCCCTCTGCTCCGGACTTAGGCCTTCGTCCAGGTCTGGGATCGTCTCGCTGGAGATGAGGCGCCGGATGATGAAGTGTGAATCCGCGATTGTCTCTGGAGGGGAAGTCGGGGCTGGTGTCAATTCTATGTATGGTAGCTTACCCTTGGGCGCGGAGTATGGAGTGGTGGGGTGATGGGTGTAATTGTCGTAGGAGGATGCGCGGAGGAGAGTTTCGATCTTTTGGCAGTATCCGGATACGCTGGGTTCATTGTTGGGCTTTGTGAAGCCGTAGAGTTTTATTGATGACATTCTTGCGTTTTGCGATATTTTTTGTTTCCTCTTGCTTCGATGGTGTCTCTTGGGGGGGGGGTTGAATGATGGAGGGCTGGTGGCGATGGTTTGATGGTGGGGAGGGGGTTTAATATCGATAACCGGTTCTCAAGTTAGGCCGCTAGGGGTGTGTACGAGTAAATGCCGGGATGATACTGTATATTTGTGACGAAAGAAAAGGGTTTTCATCCCCATCCCGGCTCTGCTCTGAAACCGCGACGGTTGCATGATATCTTCGGTTAATCCACTGTATGATACACGTAGAGTACTGTACTCGAGTACAGTACTGGCAGTGCGCACGACTCCTCGAAGCGCACACGGCTGATTTGGACACACACACTCATCATTGTATCTTTGGGGCCTCCCAGTATCATACGTCCTCATTTTCATGTCGAATACAATTCACTTGAACTTGGTGGTACCGGCACACCGTACACACCAAAAACCGTAATCGAGCACTTCACCTAGACGTCACAACATAAGATTATGATAATTGTTCACCCACATCATACCTCCACGGAACCGTTTACAACGTATATAAACTCGCCCGAACCCCCCAGCTCGGGGGGATCCCTGGCTGCTTGTCAAGTGCTTTCAGCCATGAATTCCATCGCTGCGCATAAGCCCAAGGGCGGCCGACCTTCTGATCCTCTTGTCGATACTCTCATCATACCTTATCCGGATCCTACGAAACCTCAGAGCACCAGACACAAATGCCGATGGTGTCCGGAAACCTTCGCCGCACGTAACACCGTACGCGCGAGGAAACACGCAGCGTTCGAATGCCCCGGTATCCCGGGGGGACAACGGGACGAGGTGAAGGCCGTCCTGGAGAGAAGGGACATGGATGGTAGGAGGAGTTCGGTGGGGTCTGCTGGGGGGGTCACATTGCGCTACATGTACCTGTGTCTTGCACGAATGTTTCGACGAGAGGGGTGTTAGGGTTGTTTTCTAAAGGGAAGGAAATGGAGTTGATTGGTAATGGTTGTCTATTGTATAGGATATTTGGGGGGTTATGGAATAATGCGGTCATTGTTTGCCAGCAATAATAGTCTTTTCCGAGCTTCCATGACGGATCCCCAGGCCGCTCTTTTCATAGATCATGTCGATCGTTTGCATCCCATCGATACTGTCCTGGGGGTCGATCCAGTGCGCGGGTTGTCTTCCTTGAATTCTATCGGCAAAGGCCTCGAGTTGATAGCTATGGCGTAGCGAATTAGCTCACGTTACTACTCGTGCACCGGGTGTTGCAAGTGCAGCCCTACCGATAAGTGCTCCACCAAGGCTCGGAATTGGCTCCCCATTTGGGCCCCCAGTTGTAGTGCTTTTGGGTTGTCCTGTGGCCCGTTTTCTTGTCGGTCACCTGAATATAATGGTACAGATGCGGCATCATAAAACTACCACCCCTGTCAGCATTTAACTTAACCCCGGCCTGTGGTTGAGCCTACTTGTAGAAATAAATCACCGCGTCCTCGCATTCGATCTCAACGGCGGGCAATTCCCATACTCGTGGTACGATCACTGCAACATTTCTTCTTTCCATATCTGCATAGATTTTACTCTTGACCCCGTCCTTATCCCACCGCAATTCTGCTTCCATAGCTTCGTCTATCCTCCGGTCCTCCGGGGACCTTCTCGCCTTGGCACTGATAATCTGCTCTGGGACCCCTTTATCAAGGAAATATCTAGTGGCAGAGACCACATATGTCATATCCATCAAGCTTCCTCCGGCAAGATCGTATTTCCAGCGGATGTCTGATTTTGGAATCGATTTCGCGGGGGTCGTCATGCGAGCGTAGGTGCGCTTGACCTGCCCATAGCGGCCAGAGTGGACTAACGAGTGTACAACGTGCGCTGCAGGATGGAATTGCCAGTGGAAAGCTTCAAGAAGCACAAGATTCTTAGCGGAAGCTATTTCAAAGATGCGGCGAGCTTCGGAAGCATTGGCTGTGAGTGGTTTCTCAAGCAGAACATGCTTGCTTGCGTTCAGTGCTTTTTCTGCCCACTCTGATTTCGTGTTCGTGAATCAGCGCTGCATTGTGGAATATATGTGAGCAGGACGACATAAAGAGATACCTCCATGCAGCGCGTTCGGGAGCGAAATATAAACAGCCTGGATCGTCGTATCCCCCAAAAGCTCATCGTAGCTCCCGTAAGCGTTTTTGATACCGTATTTCGCAGCGTATTTTTTGGCGGAGAGGAGGTCTCTACTGGCAATCGCAGTAATCTTCACCTCCGGGTGTGTCTCTGCTGGGCGTATAATAGCCGCGGGATTGATCATAGCTGTTGAGAGAATACCGAAGCGGATCGCATTAGGAGATTTTGGAACGGCATGGGTGGTGGCGTAGATATACTGATGGAGAAAAGTTGAGGCCTATGCTATTCCTTTAGTGTCTGGTGGCATAGAGATGGAGAAAGGGGTGCTCATAGAGTAGTACCTGAAGTGCCATAGCCATCTTGATAGGAGCTCTTTTTTGGGGGGGGGGGCCGAAGGGTACGAAGAAAGATATTGACGAGAGGATGGATCTGTTAGGTGCTGGAACACAAACCAAGCAGGCCTTTGAATTTTCGAAGTGGAATTAATGCAACCTACACACCCCTCGGGCGTACGAGTATTTGTATTCCGGTGTTTTGTGCTCGTAGGCTAGGGGTCTGGTGGTGATGTATCCATTATGTCAGTGACTGACGTCACCTTCTGCGAGGATGGCAATCTAGGAGGTGGGCGGGGGAGGAACCCACACAAACCTTTGGAGTGCTTCTGTGTGCGGGTGGAATTGCGCTATGATAGAATTCCTTCCCTCGATACCGTACTCGGGCAGAAGGGCTCTGTGTTCGTCGTGGTACAGTACGAGTGCTGCTCCGCGCAGCACAAACCCAGTGAGTACCCGACATACGATCCCATAGACTACAGGTGCAGGTGTCCCGCTTTGAGTGATACCTGTATAAACTCCCGCTCGTACGAGTACTGCACAAGTGTATTACCCTCCCCCGTTCTGTACCGTGGTCGTAAGCGCTATCATCTTGACCTAAAGAATTGGTGTCTGCCACCCACTCTCAGTTGTTTACTCGTAGCGCCATCCGCACTGTACGAGTACGGTATGGCAACCAGATCTTCTTGGCATTGTGCGGTGGCTGGAGGGCTACTCGTACTCGAGTACCGTACGGTAAATGAACCCGTCTTGATTTCACGTGTGATCTTGGTATCCCAGCAGCTACTGTATTATACCATGCGAGTACTTGTATCATAGTTATTCTGCCTACTTGCACTCGTAGTACCACAGGGCAAGAAGAAAGTTTGGTTAGTTTCGCCGGGGATGAGAAACGAAATAGCCGTACTGTACGAGCCTCGCTCAAAAAGTCATGAGTAGGGTAGCATTTTCCACCAAAACCGAGTAACTTTACATCCAGAAACCCCCACTTTGACTGTTCTCATAAAAAAATAAAAAATAAAAAATTCTTAGAATCATATGGGGTTTGTTCAGAAAAAAAAACCAAGCTCTATCAATAGAATTTGGGAGAGAAATACCAGAATAACTGCGGATGGACAAAAGATACCTTGAATCATACCAATTTTCAGTGAAAAAGGTACAATGCAACACCTCATGAATAAATCTTTAGCTATCAGCACTCGCATGAGGGTGACAAAAATCACACAATTTTTACTGAAACAGGTCAAGCAATTGGAAAACACATAGTCCTAGTTTGATTAATTCTATCATCTTTTTGGGCAAGTTAATTGCCCTTAAAGTGGTGCAATTTTGGTGCAAAATGGCAACCTACTCATGACTTTTTGAGCAAGGATCGTACTGTGCTCGAGTAGTTCTGTCGAACCCCGAATCACCGAATATCACCGTTAGCTCGTACTTCTCGGGTTCGAGAGGTGGACTTATTTCACACGGCGATTTCTCATATTACAGTATTGCATCGTACGGGGGGTTGCCGTAATATCTAAGGCTGCTAACCCCCACGATTCCTTAGATCTGGTGTCCCGAGCCAGACTACCCCCCCCCCCCCCTAAATACCATAGCACCGTGTACTGTAAGAACCGGTAAAGGTGCTGGGACGTCCAGAATTTCCCCCTTTGGATTAAGAAGGGAAAATATAGTGGAAGGACCCCACTTCAGCCCTCAACGGGACAGCAGACCATACTAGGAGAAGGGGGGGGTCCAACGTCCTCGAAGGATTTTCTATTACCGTATCCTAGTTCTTACAGTAATAGATAGGTATCGATAGGGTTAGATTTTGAGCTTTCCTTGTTAGATTTGCTCAACGTGTCCGCGAGTTGAGCGATACGAAACAGCCTTCATAACTGGATGGGCCTTCCTATATTCTGAATGCCATGTTTTGCGCCCAGGCCCTAGGTGAGGTAGGTGGTGAGCTGGGTAGAATATATCTCTCATGCCTGATCGGATTCATGGGCACGTTGCACAACCAAATAGTCGTATGGAAATTGTCGACCTCGGGAATGGCGCTTGTATCCGTGGAGCATACGAGTACGGTATCAGGTGAAGAGTATACCATGTGGGACATGCATCAATTTCTACTGTTTTCTTTTCCTCATGTACTGTACTACCCATCGGTCTTCCATCTCTGTGGTACTTTCCAGAACGGTCTGGGTTGTACCGCCCCGCAGTGCAGTACGAGTACCATAGTCAAAAATAAAAACTTTGATCATCACACATGCCGACGAATCGATTTATGGTGCTGGTTAACGAAAAACGAACGAGAATTCGACACCTTGTTGCACCATGACTTACAGTACTGGTACCGTACCGGCTGCTTGCGCGCAAGTACTCGTACAATACTCGCATGATCTCATCTTATGTAGCCGATCTAGCGTGGAATCTGAGGGTATTTTTCCGAATACGAGTGGTATTTGAGACCTTAACCGGAAAAAAACAAAAAAACACCCACACCAACTACCCAAACTCCAGTGCAAACTCCACCCATATGTATGGTATGTGTAAAATGAATACCACCCCGCAAACCCCTATGCGTTACGCCAAAAGGAAGGTTATTTTGGTAACTAGAGGGGAAGAGAGGGAAAAAAAAGTCCAAGGTCATGAATTAAAGAAACTTGGACTGAAACTTGCTCTTACTTCTCAACCATGGACCGTACCTCCAGAACAAGAAAGGAACGGGGATGAACAAGAGAGTGACGGAAGCGAGGATGGTCTCGGCCCACTCAGGTTCGAACCTTTCGTAAAGCTTGGGCGTCACCAGCGGGAAGCTCATGGCAAACATGCATCTGAGCAGGGAACTAGCAGCGCCAATCGACGCTGCGATATGCGGGAACGAGTCGGAAGCGTAGGTGGCGAATGAAATCTATTCCCGCGGTTGGTTAATCCATCGAACCAGAGGTGTATATATTCCTCGTGGAAGGAAAAAAAAAAAAAAAAAAGGTAGAAACTCACAAACAACATCACCATACACCAACCAAAGGGGATGCCAGATGCGACTGGAACCGCCCAGTGAACGTGGGTGAACCCAGTCCATGCAAACCAGAACATACTGGCGGGAACCAAAAGTGCCGCCAGCATGGCCGGGGGAAGACGACCTTCGGGGAACGATCCATTTTTGCCATGTTTTTCGGACAGCTTGACGAAGATCTTGTTCGCCATGCCCGCCATACCCCCCGCCAGGAGGATTCCTAGGGCGATGCCACCAAATGCTGCTCCGGCTTTAGCTTCTCCCCAGCCGTATCTTGTTCTAAAAACAACTATGTAGGCCTGAGCCCCTGTTAGTTATCCAAAACCGCATTTCAGGGTGCTTTGTGACGTACTCCGAGATATAGGTATAAAATACCCCAGATAAAGCTGACGAACAGGGAAGTAAGGAAAACAATCGGTTCAAAGGCGAGCAATTGCAAGGGTCTCCAGATAGCGGTGATGAAAGTTCTAGATCTTGACAGCCCAGTCTTTTGTGCCTCGGTGTACAACCCCTCTATTCCGGTTTTCTTTTGCAGCTCACGAGCCTTGCGGGTGAGCAGAGTTTGGGGGTGTGACTCCGGCACCAGCCACCAAGTGGCGAACACCGACGCAGAGAAGATAAAGTTGAACCAGAGGATGTATTCCCAGCCTGAATACTCGGTGAGAAAACCCCCGACGATAGGGCCAAACCCAGGACCGAGAAACGCACACATGGCCATCAGGAACGCAGGGGGTCCGACTTGCGTGGCTGTGTAGTGGAGATATTAGCGGAATTTCCTCTCTGGGAGACGAACGGTGGGGAGGGCGTACGATGGAACATGTCATAGGCAGAGCCAAATCCAACAGCTGTAGCTGTAGAGCTGAAGATGCCGGCAAAGAGACGACAGATCAGAAGGGAAGTGAAGTCTTTTGAGAGACCACAACCTAAATTGAAGAGCACGAAGAGAGCCCATGTTGGCCGATATACAGAGTTTCTCCCGAATATCTACTCTCGGTCAGTGGCTAACTTCGAGAAGGGACGGAAATTATTCATACTTCACTCGCTGGACTGAATATAAGTGGCCCTGTGGCCCAACCAAAAACGTAGCTATATCCTGTTAGACACACTCCAGGCTCCGTGAAAGAGAGCCAACTCACAAAGTCAGCATCAGTGTTGCGACCTCCGTGCTGATACCATATTGCAGCTTTACACGATGAATTGCAGGAGAGATGTCCGCCGAACCAATTGTAACGCAAAAGGTGTTGACACAAAGGACAATCACAACCAAAAACTCTATCAAGGGTACGCATCAGGATCTATCAATCGGATCGGAACAGAGGACAACCCATACTCTTGCCGGTAGTCCAATTCCGCGGATTCTCCGGGTCATCGGGCCCATCCCAAGTAACCAAGAAAATGTCTGGAGTCGAATACCGATATTCCTCGTAGCTCAGCAGCGATCTTGGGGGTGTCAGGCTTCTGAATCCCGCTTCAAGGTCTTTCTTCTATTCAAATAGTCAGAAGGGCTAGAGTCCAAACGCGACCTGGAAACTGACCTCTTCTCCAAACATCTCTTCCGGACGGTTCAGATTGGGTATCGAATGTGCTACTTCCTGAAGCCAAATGGTCGACAGTGTGTGATCCCCTTTAGGAACTGATTGTGGGCTAGGCCTCTGTTTAAATACCCCCAAATGTTCTGATATCGAAAGAACAGTGCCCTCCCGAGAATACGGAGAGAGCATGATATATAAAACGAACCTCCCCCACCGAGACCCTATTTTCCTATCCCTGCGTCTAGCCAACTTCAATTAGCTACAAAGTGACTAGCCCCGGGGGATTTTTCTTATGGTTCCCTACCCGCCCGCCTAGCAGTTAGTCTCGGTACTGCACTGCGCGTGGGCATGTGCATGGGCAAAAATTGGGCTTATGGAGTTTTTTAGAATGCAGTACCTAACTCTACTAGCGGTGAAATGTATGAGTGTTTGCTTGGCCTGTGTCCCCCCCTCTTTCTCACTTTCTACCCCAGGTGCATTTTTGGCCGGTCCAGTTCAAATAGCACACTGGACCAAAGTTATCCCTTTGCTTGTCACTATGACAAAGGGAGAAGAAGTTATGGCAAGACTTCCAAGTGTCAGATTTCCATCCCAATCAATCAAGTTTGCAAATACTCCTCGTGAACCAAGTATTGCGAGCACTGTAGCATTGCGCAGTACAGGGACTCTATTCAAGAGCCAAAAAAAGAGCATGATAACCTGTCGCTGTTAGCAGCCGATAACCCCCAAAACTCCAGCTTCCGTTTGTGTATATACTAGGGAAAACATCTCCACCGGATACACAAATATCGCTACCCCATCCGGAGTAAAGTACTCATCCTAGGCAAGAAGTATCCTAAAACAAGGACACGCAAAAAAAAAAATGTTAGGAAAAAAAATTCCGCGCGTATCTGAAGGCCCATGTAAGCCCTCAACTCGTATTTCTGGATGCTTCTTGCCGTAGGTGTGGTTACCATGGCACCTTAACAAACCGGTAGATGATCCTGGCGGTAAGGTATGGTACAAGTACAAGTACGAGTGCAGTACAGCACAGTACAGCACCTAAACCTTCTTCGCCGAGCTTGAGCCACCTCGCTCCTTGTGAAAATCGAACCCCTCATCACCGCCGGCACCGGCCGCCGCAGAGAGGTTGTTGTGCACTTTGCATAAGGTGCGGTGCGACCTAGCACAGACTACCCGTAGCGTGGTGGTAGGGTGTGAGAAGATCGTATTTGTACGGGCTCGTAAAATACCGTGGACTACCTCGGAAGGACTGTAGATTATTAAATTTTTATAATAGGTATTTTGTTCTTGTCTGACGATTTTGTTTGTATCATGGTCGAATTGGTATCCAAGTGAGAGGTAGGAGACCCGAATCAGACCCTTCTGAGCGCCTATCCTTCTCAATGTTCTCATGAGGGTGTGAGTCCCTGGTACAGTACGTCCCATTTTCATCCGCTGTCATAAATGTCATCACGGCAATTAAAAGGATTTAGCCTATCTGACTGGAAGAAAAGCTATCATACTTGGGGAAGAAATAGCTACTAATAACCCTGTTCATTCGTGATTGGATGAAAACTTCACTATTTGGGACTAGTATTCCGGGTTTAATAATTTTGGAGCAGGTACGATATGTATGGTAATGTGCGTATAGGATAGTACAAGATGAAAGGGCAACTATACAGTGCATTATTGTAAGAATCTAATGCGGATAGTTGATTGCTCTACCTGTTGCAGCTTTACCCGCACTTGGTTCTTGTTCCTTGATGGGGTCAGTCAGCATGATAGGCATACGGGTGAAGAAAATAGTGGTACAGTACTGTACAAGCCGCATTAAACACCAAAATATGGGGTTTTCGCGCATACGAGTTTGGGATCGAGGTGAAAATAATTTCACGCATTGGTCCTATTGCTTCTCCTCCTGTTCTCCTCTCATGGGAATCTAGATACCACTCCTACTCTCCCAGTTAATTCAAGTGGCATGGAGGCTTGAAAATCTTCCCATTGCCATACCAAAAAAAGGCCTTCTGGAGCAGTGCAGAGAAGGTACTCTCAATTCCAGCAGTCACAGGCTGGGAATTGGCCACCCAAGAGCCCTCTAAAACCCACGTGGGTAATCCCCAGCGACAATTGAAGCCATCTAACTTGCGCAATTTCTTGGATTCCAAATATTTTTTTGGCGGTTAGTGATTACCCGGAATACCCCTGCTCTTTCGTGGAAGAATGCCGCTGTCCCACAGCTTTCCCCACTCGTGTGCTGGGGTACGCCCAATACCGGTCGGAACTAGTGTCAGAATTGACCGTAAAGCCCTAAGGCTAAGACCCTTTGAGAAAGTATCCCGAAAACGAAATCTTGGAGGGGGAGGATAGCGAGTAGCATTAATGTTAAACCTGGCTTCTGTCCAGTATAATAGAATGCTAATCGGGATGCGTCTTGGTAGGACAAGCCCCGCATCCACTCGACAGCATGGTTACGACAACGAAGCGAGCGAGAAACCATCGCTAACTATAGCCCCCAAAACGACGGATATGCAAGGTGGGAAAATGACTGCCCGACTATGGCAGTTTCCCGTAGCCCTGGTGAGGATTCCACGGCACCTCTTGGAGGTTACCGGTACCTCAGATGCACCCTAATGGGTATATCTGGTTCGACTGAGAGCATCGAGTGCCGGCAGTGGCATGGTGGGGTAGGAACAGCAGTCGTGCCTGAGCCTCATGCAGCCATATGTCATTAGACCTTGTCCCATCCAACCGCCACGCTACGACCGGCACGATTACCGGTACCTTAATTGGGTACGGTACGGTGCCGGTGGTCTACCGTACCGGTATTTGCTTCCCAGACCTTTTGACAACGAGGCAGCCTCGGATCGCCCAGCTCCCCGTTCCAGTCCCCTCCCTTTCCAAGATGATTTTGGGAACAGCCCTAAATTGATGAGAGCGGTTAATGATCACTGTGGAAAAAGTTTTATTTGGCTTTTTCAGACTGGTGTGGGCGCTGGATAGCTGTGTTTTAACTACATAATTCACAATCAGGTCCGGTCTTGAGGGGATGCAAGTACCGTACCGATAAGGTCCGCGAGGTGCATATTAGACGCGGGGGATTGGTTGTAAGTGGTGGGGGGGTTGATATTTAGGCGTCAACCTGGGGTGGTATTTATGGAGGTGCTTTTTTTAGAACTGGCTTGTTACCGTCTTGGCATCAAAAGTCGTGGTCGATCCGCATTTTACACCAAAAATGCGCAACTTCAATGGCCTTCAACTCACTATGGAGAAATCAAAGTAGCTCCATGGGCCTCACAACCGCTCAGGTGCCATATTTCCTGTAAAGAAATTGTCTCATTTCGCCACCCTTCCGCGAGTGTTGATAGCCCGAGGTATGCCCCAAGAAGAGGTTGCAATGTATCATACCTTCTATCATATATGGGAAACTAACATAAGATTCGGGGTATCTTTTGCGAACCCTTAATGCTCCTAATACTTTGATCTCAAAATCTATTGACTAAGCTCGCCTTTTTATTCACATCCCACACCAGAAATGATCAACCTCACATCTAGAAGGATCTTCTTGATCGCTCTGATAACAATTCAATGATACTTATAGAATCACGTGGGATTTGTTCCAGTAAAAAAAGACTCATGAGTTCTGACACCAGGATGGTATAGCGCTGGGAACTTGTTCTTTTGGCAAGTTATGAATGATAATACCCGTAACAGCCCCTAGACATAAGTCATTGCCTGCAGGGCAAAGTGTGATACCGGTGAAAACACAACAAGATCAGGGAAATTTGACCCTGGTTAAATCCCCAGTTCTTCAAAAACCTCAGCACCGAATAGAGTATTACCAAAGCGCAGCTGTGGGTAGCCAGGAACTCGGCGATTTGGTACATGTTTCTTTAGCTACGATTATTTGTGGATATGCCCTTGGGGGATCACGGGAAGCTCGGGGTGTCGAAACGTTGGTGCCTAGCCTGGGAACCCGTATGAACGCTGGAGAAAGGCGCTCGATTTGAAAATCCCAGCTTTCGCAGGTCAACCAACCATGCAATACAGGTCTGATTCTGCCGAAATATGGATACCCTGAAGCCCGTACTACCACCCGATACCCTGAGCTAATATATAAGCAATTGAGGGAGATACGGTGTTGCCACATTGTCGCGAAGGTGGCCTTTTTTTGTGTTAGAAGTGCAAGTTGCGATGACCTTTGTCGGGGTATAAGTTCATTTCTAGAGGTAACGGGTGGGTGGGTGGAGATTCTGCACTAACAGATAGGGCTTAGATGTTGCGATGAACTGTCGTGCTCTAGATGCCAAGCGCTCGAGTTGTAGTCCCACCCGGGAGCCCCGAAATCTATTCGTCATTTCCACGCCGGGTCCCGGGGAAGGCAATCTTACAGTGAGCTATGGTTAGCACTGTGCTCGCGCAGCCTGGCTAACCAACCAGGCAAGAAGATTTCAAATACCTATGACCTCTAGATAGCATGTGGATCTAAGATCTCCATACCGTCCAACTTCAACTTGGCCGAGCCCGCACTGGAGCATAGTGTTATGTCTCACTTTAATCACGCGTCTCCAACGACCCTCACGAAGTTGGGGCAACGCTTTTCTCGGCTTATGGGCACCGGTGGTCTGCTCTGATTACCGAATTATCTTGCTTAGATTACGGGGAGTTTATTTATGGACTGAGGGGCCGTCGGTCGTTGGGGGTGGTTGGGTTAGGGGGAAATTGGAAGTTTACCTCAATGAGAAACCCCTGCGAGGGGCCAAGGTGGTGGAGGAATCATTTGTTCAAATCTCTGCTATCATACGTATTGTGTAGGACAAGGAAATGTATTAGGCATGGGACTGAATCGCGCCATACATGGATCTTGTCCCGATCCTCCCCGTAGGGTTTTCGGAAGGGAAAAAAAAGGTCTCAGAACTCTGCGGATCTAACCTTCCCGTATCCCCCCTTTGAATGCTCTCTGATAGGCGCCTGGCATCAGTTGAGGTTTGAAATATTTCTCCCCTTTTGCTTCGTTTTGTTCGATCCGTTACCCCTTCTGGCCTGCTATCTAGCTCAATCCCTTAGAATACTACGTGAGACTATTTTTTTGTATATTTACCATCATATTCTGTCACTCGAACCGGATATCCAGCCCCCTGTTGTAATATCACTTTGTTCAAGAGTAGAGAAAAGACTTGTCTTCTATCCCATCTCCTGCAAGAAGGGAGTGCTAATATACTACATGAGTTTAGCAGTCACTTTGAACAGCGTGTCCTGTATCATGCAAGCCAGTTTCCCAACAGGACCTACTCGGATCATCCAGCTCGGTATCCCCATACTAAACAAATCCGATGCGGTAACCATCTAGTAATGGAATCCTGAGAAGCCACATTTTCCAACACCACCTTCCTATTTTAGCTTTCCTATCCACCGAGCACCCGAGATGATTGATGGATTTACTCCAACAAGGGAATTCCGCAGAAACAACAGCTTATTCCTCAACTCGGAACTCTTTCCACTGGTGGCGGTCGAATAAAGGCGGTAATGTAACCACTCCGAGAATTGTATCAAGTCCCCACTACAACACCTGAAAGCCATAAATTGGGGATGGATGGACAGGCGATTAGATATAGCGGAGACCAGTATTTCCTCTCACAAAAATCGTGTATTCTGCTTTAACCGAAGAAACTCTTAGTTCGAATGCCAGAGAGGGGATTCTGTGCCATATACTCACGCGGTCGAGTTGAAGTATAACACTTTACGTAGGAATTGTCGCCTCAGTGCCCATCTTCAGCTCGGTCGCATGAGCACAGAATTGTTAGGGCCGGATGGAAGCCACGGTTGTATAGGGATGAAGTTGACGAGGGTTGGTTTGATTGAGTGTAGGGGATTTCCTCTTGAGGTCGCTATTTTGAGATACCCAAGTAGTTTCTTTTATATATATATATATCAGCCAAGAGAGGGCCTCGCTTGTATGATACACGTACCCGAGATGCCCCTCTCAACAAAGTAGTGTCTGGGGGTGGTATGCTATACTATACGACACCGGTGTGGTGTGTCTATTGAACCAACTTAAACCACATGAAAAGGTTCACAAAACACGCCGCACTGAACCAAGTCTCGGGGGAGACCTCTGACCATATCACGAAATGAACCTTCGTGTTTCAGAGTCTGCGCCCCCATGGCTGGCTTCCATCAATGGCTTCCCAAGCGATTCCGACTCACAAACACCGATCGCATACACCCCACCTATTTAGCGGGAAACATGCAGAGAATTTGCTAAAATGACGGTAGGCCTAGTTTGGTTGAGCTAGACTTATTTTGAACTATTTTATTCTGAAATGGTCGGCCTGGAGAAATGGTTGTTATCCATTTACTATTACTCATTTCTAGCAACTACCCGCAACCCTCTATTGCTAAACTTTTTTTTTTATCTTTAACTCTTATAAAGAAAATTTATGGTTCCTGACATTCAAAACGTGCACCAGGCTGAAAAAAATGTGTTACATGTGGCTGTGCTAGTTTTGGTGCCAAGACAGGGTTTCTGGTTCAGAAGTTGTATTACATCAAGAAATTTTATCAAATTTAATCTGTTATAATATGAGTGTGGTTTTGTTAGAACCTACACATTGGCCTCCAACAACAAAAAAATTATTTTAGCATAGCCAGATAGATAGCCTTCTAGAGCATACTCTAAATAGCTTAGAAAATACTTTTCAACCTCTAACGACCTCTGTAGCCTGTTTTATGTACAAAAATGTAAAATATCTTAAAAAGATTTGTTTTTCATAGAAAAATACTAGAGCTTTCTGGCTATCTGTAGAACCTGGTTTCAAATCAATAGGTCATATAGATATGATGTTATGAGTCGCTCAAGTAAAGATGGTTTTTTTGTTGAATTATATTGTATGAAGGACATCATAAATCCTCATGAAATAAGTAACAAAATTTAATACTAGAAAATCTATGGTAGATAACTTATAGCAATTACCTTTTAGTAAATGGCAAATATTTAATAATATTATAAAGAAGTACAGGATTGATGAATTGTAAATCTACGATACAGTACCTTTTACAACATTGGTATCAAGTCTAGGCAATAAAAGACTCTATAAAAATGTAAGCACCTATTCTAGTAAGAATAAGATTCTTGCCACAAGTTTAAAGGTATAGTCATAAGAAGGCCAAATAATTGAGCAGCTAAGAAAAGCTCTATTAATTAAGGAGGGATTGCCAGAAATAACTTGAAGAAAATATAAAAGACAGTGATATTGGGAATCCAAAAACAAACATAGTAGAAAAAACCATGTAAATAATATATTTTCACAAATCTTAAATCATAGTATATATACTCTACATAGTAAATAAATTTTTAATCAAATTATCTTATTTTTAAACTTTTTTATTATAGAAGAGAAGTAATTCTCCTATAGAGGAAAAGAAAAAAGTATTTATCTCAAGATTGATTTTCTCAGGTTGCCATCCTTCAAACCTGTTTTCCTAGTAACAACCAAAAAAGCCCATGTGTAGGTTCTAACAAAACCACACTCATATTAGAAGAGTATTATAAAGAGACATTCAAGTTGTTTAATAATAAAACTACCATGGAAATCAGAAAGAATGTAAACCTGGGAAGAGTATTTAAGAAATCATATAATAGTACAGCCTTTTTGAGCTATATATATATAAGATATATCATACTCAATTGGTTATAATATAATAATTAAGTTCTAGGTTATAGGTATTAAAACACTTCTGTAAAAAATCATAACAAAACTAGTCTAAACCCTTATTCCTACAAGAATATTGGGGGAATAACAGGGATTGAAGGTGTGGCTGATGTAATACCTTTCACACTTTTACACTAAAATTCCAACTTTTCAAAGTCTAAAGGAAAGCTATTGAGAAGTCCAAGGAAAAAAAAAACCTGGCGCTTATTCTCCTGTATCTTCTCTTTAATTGTATATCAGTGACTAGTTCAACTTGAAATACATGTATACTTTACAAGTAGGAAATTATCAATATAGATTACTATACTTATACTAATTACAATCTAGATCTACTACTGAATAATCGTTATATATACAGAATTATCCTTAATTTAAAGAGTTATTGAATTAATGAAAATTAGAAAATAACTTTTTAATAAAATTACTACTAAATAAAGTTATTCTACAGTCAAATGCTAGTAATTATTAACTTGATATTCTTAATATTTACATTAGCATGTAATATTCCTACATGGCAACTATTAGTCTATATTAGGACTCTTCTGAAATGGACTGAAATGAATTGATTGATGCCTTTTACTATTGCCAAACAGCTATTTTGTTCTTCCATTTCAAAATGGAAGGAAAATGGTCATTTGTATGTAATAATGAAATGGGACCAGCGCAACCAAACAGGGCCTTATGCTCCTCTCTATAAATATCGAACCCCCCCTTCAAAGCCACACAACCAATAATGAGCAGCATGAGGCGGTCAAACTTCATGCCAATCTTCTTATGAACGTCATCGAATCCTTTATCGATGGTGCGATGGAGATCCTTAAGGTCGAGCTTGATATCGTGGACTTGACTCTTTAAATCGTAACATCCTATAAATAGTTAAAGCAATATGTCCATCGACGGTAGAGTAAGAACCAACCTTGTCGAGTAGATGAAACTCCTCACTCCTAGGAGAAGCTGCGGACCCGGATGTACCCTGAACTGAATTGCTATCACCTTGGGCAGGACTATCCACGTTCTGGTCATCGATGGGCAACTCACCATCCCCGCAGTTTCTCTAATCACCGAATTCCGTAAGTAATGACACCGTAAAAACAAGAGCCCTGATGGTTTAAGACATACAAGAGTAGTAGCGAACCCACGTCTTAGGACCCGTTCGGCAACGACTGTTCCGTTCCGTTCGTACATACAAAATGGCCGTTCGCGAACGGAACTATAAGGCAATTTGTATGGGCGAACGGAACGGAACGGTCGTTGCCGAACAGGCCCTTATTACGGGGTTGAACCCGCCACGCAACTGGTGATGGAACTGATGAAGGCCGATCAAAGGACGATGAAGTTTTGAGGTAAACATGATATTGTTTGTTGTGTTCGGCTTGCTGTATTGTTCATTGCTCGCTGCTGTGTGGGGTGTAAATTTAAAGGTTTGGGGAAAAGTTGACGACCAAATACCGCCCTATTACCGAGCCATGGGTTACCCTGCAATCTGAGGTTAGGGTTTTTCTCGGAAAAAATTCACGAGTCGGTACGCTGTACTAGTACGGGTACAAGTACCCCACACATCTTCACCCCACGCTTGGGAGCCTCCCAACCATCGTCAATTGACTCACCATCTCCATCAGCAGGAAGCAACGGCGCGAAGGAAAAAATGGATCCGGTTCGGGGGGCTTCATCAACAGATACCGAACCTCCGCTTCAAAGGCTATTCTACGGGGTAAGCCCGCCGGTCAACCTCACCTCACTCAGCTGCGCGGAATTCTCCATTGCTCAGATCGAAGCTCACCTCAAGCACCGTAAAGTTCACACGGCAATTGGAGATAACGAGCATGAGGCGGCCGTTTCCTCCATGGGCGGAGGGAAAAGAGGCCCGCCAACTCTAGCCCAACTCGCTACGGCCAGAATAGTCTCTACACTCCGCTATGATATGAAAGACGGTGTTCGAGTTCTCGCGCAGAACTGTCCGGAGAAGTTGCTCCAATCTATCCTCGAAAGTCCCAGGCTACACTACATTTCCTTCCGGACGCTGCTGCAAACTCACGACATTACGCAGTCATCGCAGGGCATGGAACCAGGCTCTTGGGCTCAGGTGCAGCGCTTGGCGGGGGAGGATGTGGATTCGTGGGTATTGAGGAACGAGAAGTTTATCCGCCAGATGCCGCATAGAGAGGGAAATTCTATGCTTGTGTCTCTGGATGAAGCCGCCGAGGTCTGGCCGGATGCGGAGATTACCTCTGAACATATTACTCTTCGGAGGAGAAAGCCACCGAGGGAAACCTTCACGTGCTTTGATGAATTGCGGTCCCGGGAAATTAAGCTCCAACCTTCTAGTAAGAAGTTTGCTCAAACCTTCAAGAAGCTGACAAATGGTGTTTTTGAAGGCTTGGATTGGAATAACGTCGTTATTTGTGGAGGAATAGTGCTTGCCACAATGCAGTGTTTATCTGAGGAGGACGACAAAGCCTGTATTGACTCTGATATAGATGTTTGGATCTATGGCTTAAACCCTAAGGAGGCGAATAAAAAGATTCGCGAAATTTATAATGTCTGGTGGCGGAATCTGGGTCCAGAAAGGGAATCTATGGTTATGAAAAACGCTAAAACGCTAACCCTAATGAGCAATTACCCCGAGCGAAGGATCCAGGTTGGTTTACGGGGCTCTCTATCCTTCTCTTGTTTGATAGAGCGGATGCTGATTGTGAGATTGATAGATAATATTGAAGATGGCAAAATCTGAAGCGGAAGTTCTTCTCAATTTTGACCTGGACCCATGCGCAATGTGCTGGAATGGAAAAGAAGTGCGAATGCTTCCACGCTGCGCTAGGGCCTTGGAAACGGGCTATACTACCTTTACGATGGATTTAGTGTACGGTCATCATCTTGGTGATCGACGTGCTACTCAGGAGATGAGGTTCGGATCTGTCAGACTTCTTTAGGAGCCGATTATTAACTAATAACGCCTAGAGTCCTCAAGTATGCCAGTAGGGGATTCGGCATCCTCATTCCGGCTTCACTCATGAACACACTCACGGTCGATTTTGACACCCGGAAACCCAAAACCCCAAGTTGCCCACAGGCACCTTACCGTCGGCATCGTGGGCGTTACAGGAACCCTCGGGGCGAGATTGTGTATTCTGGGAAGAAGGCTGTCAAGAGGATAGCATTTCTGGCGCAGGACATGATACATAGGTTTTATCTTGGCCCGACCCCTCTGTCAGCACCTATAAGGGCGGAGGAAGGCTGGTCTGAGGGCAGCGATGATGGCCGGCCGCCCTACGGTTTGGAAGATTTTGTTGAAGAGTCTGACGGAGAGGGCGGGATGCAGACGCGCACGGTACTCAGGGCGATTGCTTCTTCCGTAAATGGGAGGAGGCAGTCTATTGCGCAACCTGGTGGTAGGGAAGGAGTCGGGGCTGGCTTTGAGCTATTCATGAGAATGGCTGCGCTATTTAAATACGAGGCAGAAGGCCGTCTAAGGTATACCAGCCGGAGCATCAAATCTACCAGTAAATCCAAGCATGGAGCTTAATGTTGTGGCAACCTAGGATCGACAGAAATTCCCTTTGCTCCATCGCCTATGACGATCCCGAGACGTACGATGACACCCCGCAATACCTTTGGGATCCGGATTTTAAGCTCGAGGATCTATCACACGAAATTAATGCACACAACAATCGTCTTTTCGCAAATCTTAGGGAGGCTATTGAAGGGCTCCTCGGCACTAATTCACCTCACGGAGCCGGCTGTAAGTCCCCACCCCTGGTCATCATTGTTCGAATATACTTATGTGGGATGGTCGGTTTCACAGGGAGGGGATATCTAAGCCGACGGGTTCGTCGCGTTATATTCGTCGACAACATGGACGAGGTTTACCAGAAGCAGATCACAATACCAGTTTGTGTACCTGTTGCCCTTGAAGAGTATATAGAGAACACTATGAGGGATGTATGCGACCAACATGGCATGCCCTGGTCTGATGAATTCAGAGTGTTGATCCCGATTCACAATTCGAACAACACCACCCGTGTACCTCCACCAGTCGGGAGGTGGAATTACCGGTATTGGGTCATTGGGGACATTACAATGTGGGCCAAATGGGACCCGCGGATAGATGAGTATCAAACCCCCATTCTCCTTCCTCCTCCTCGCAACACCCGCGAACGATGACAAAAATCACAGAATCTTTGAAGTCCTCTGGTCAATCTTCCACATGGAAACCCAACCCGACAGCTTCGCCCATCGCTGTAACCCGGATGAGGCCGAAGACCGGTTTCTAGCGAAAACTCTCTCCGCCAAATTTGACCAACGCATAATCCCCGCCTCATCCCTGATCCCGCAGGCCGAGCAGACAGCACTAGGTTCATGGCCTGACGCTCGCGAGAAGGAGCTTTTCCACGAATGGATGATATACTCTCCACAGGTGCAGAGTAGAACATACACCTATGAAACGCATCATACCAATTATGTTGAGGGTTGTGTTCGTGATTTCCCAGATGAATTATGGTGGAATGAGGAGGCGGATGGGGCAAACGATGGGGGGAACTGGGCAGAGTGGGAGACACCGGCGGGGAAGATGAAGGCTGCGCTGGACGCGCAGGAGATGGATAGGAAGAGAAAGAGGGTTGATAGTGGGGGATTGGAGGATATGGTTACCGAGTGAGGTGGGTTCTGGCACTGCTCCTCCGGAGAAGGGATATTTTCTGGCTTTAGATTAGCCGGATGTTTATCGTCGTTATGGTGCCATTACAATCTCTTGATCCTCTATTTGGATCTGTTTCTGTCGCTGTAGGCTTCTTGTGTTATCTCTAGCATAATTACAGGTGTAGTTATAGTGCGCCATCATCGTACCAACTCAGTATCCTGTCCCTTACAAGCGTTTAGTCAACCACCGCCAAAGAACAAGTGGGGGGGTTATAGCCCTGTGGGCATCCAAACAGCGCCGCACGGGCCCAATACCATCACACGGCCTCGCGAGTATCATGCTCGGCTCCTTGAAGAGATCCCTTATTCATCATGGCGCGATCCGCTCAAACCTAATAGCGGGTGAACCTCATAACTCTAACACTATATAGCTCGCACGTGGCTCTCAGGCTTCCGGAAGGGAAGCAATCATTTTGGATCTGATGTCTTCAAAATAACAACCCTCCCTGCTCCCCCACCACCCCAGCGGACTCCATGGACCCCATCCAAGGTTACAGGACCTGCCGGGAAGGAGGGCCGCACACCGGACCACTCTACCGGTAACGGGTAGGCGGATACTTCAGTATAGTTTACATGATTGGCCGGTAGTGAACTCCCCAGTGATTTCTCGCGGGCAGTGCTTGTAAACACGGTAGACCTTACGCATTCCCACTGTAGCCTCCATCACAGGGGGGTACGGCAGTGGGGTGACTAGCAAATGGTGCGGCGGTATCGGCGAGCGTAATACGGTATGATAGGTATTATGGACGACAGGAGGGCGTGTGGAACGGGTATGATATGACCGGAAACAGCCTTTTCCCATTTGTCTCCTCCTCTAACACTAACGGCAAAAGACGGATGTAAATATCATAATATCATATTATGCGAAAACAGAAAACAAAAGCCTTCCTATCTATCCTTCCATAGGCCTCCTACACATACATCGTTCCTTTTTTCTCTCTTTCTTTCTTTCTTCCCCTCTTCCTTCCTTCCTTCCATACAAGCTCCCTTGACGACAAAGGAAAAACATGCCCATGGAAACCATACTGCGCAAATCGATCCACATCACTCCCAGACCATCCTCCGCTTTGCCTGTCACTTCCAGAATCATCGCCCTATCGTTTTTCTTCTTCTTTTTCATAACCTCCAAGAGTCTCTATTGTCTTTCATGGCAGTTGGTTACTGATGCTCGGGCATTTCCGTGATGGTGAACTGATATAAATCCCGGACTTTTTTTTAAAAAAAAATCTCCTTTCGTGGCGGCCCTGTTCAACAGATCTCTGATTTGTGCTTGCTCTGGCATTCTCTAATGTATGCCGGTAAGTTTGGATTATTGCTTGTGGTTTTAACCGCCGCCATTGTTGCGAGCTTTTCTGGTTGAGGGTATTAAGTTATACTAGTACTGTGCTGTACGAGGCTGGTGACAAAAATGATGAGCAAAATGACATGTAACAACCCAAACCATGCGAGTTCACACATTCCATTCAATACATTCTGGAGCTGTAAAAAAAATTGAAAAATTAATGATTTGGTTCAAAATTCTTTCAAATATCTCCCCAAGTGCTCATGGATTATTAAAGAATTTTTTAGCTGCTTTGGGATGCAATATTCTGGGATTGATGCTGAAAACAGCGCCAAGCCTTGCCATTTCCCATACAGTACTGTACAAAATTATACCAAAAATTGCGCCAAGACTAATGTACCAGCCATAGCTCTTGATAATTCCTCAACTACTTTAGATAGAGAGTTCTAAAAGGTTTGGAAAGTAAAATCTAGGGAATTGTTTCACATAGAGATGAAGATTTAGTTTGGGTTTCTTGACTAAATCAGTGGTTGGAAGGTCATGAATATGGCTATTTTCAGTGGAAAACCCTTACACTGCTCACCATTTATGGCGACAGCCTCGTACAGTACCGGTACGGTTCTCTGGTTGCTTGCTAACTTATAGTAATAGTTTCCCTGTATCATTCATTCACTCCTTAAATCGCTAGAAACTCTTTTCCCTTTACTGTTTGTCTTATTGCCCCATTTTTACAATGCTTCTCTCAACTTATTAAGGGCTTTTATCAATCCCACACCCCATACCGACTTTGCACCGATCATCCCTTGCCATATCTTCCGACTTTTTTTTCTTTTTTCCTTTTTTTCCCCACCGAAGGCTATATGTGGTATGGCTCCAAGTCGCTCTGCAAGTATGATACTCACTAACCCCATCAATAACAGTGTGTGCGACAGGAAACAACACTCCAGAATTGTACAAAACTCAATGCCGTAATCTGGGGAGTGGAACCAGTCACACGGTGAGGGAGTGAAGATTCCACACAACCAAGGCGCCATAACATGTCAGGAGTACAGTACCCTACAAGTGTAACAATTAGGCCACGGTTGGACACCTTGATAACAATTACACTTTTGCCCTCGAACACGGCAAGTCCCGAGAATCGTGGGATGTGCGCTTCTCGTCAGGATTTTTCTTCATTTTCGACAAAGAAACGCACCGGGTAGGACGGTTGTAAACGGCAGCTAAATTTCCGAGGACGTTGCAGTTGCCTAGTATGATGGCGACCGTAAGGCGACGTCCACATTTCCTTCCTGTTTGTGTTGGCTGGCGTTTGAGGTGCTTTCCTCGAAGGGGATTCCGGTGCCCTGGAACTTTGCGGTACGGTACTCGAGTAGGGAGGTTAAGCACTGTGTGTAATTTAATAGTATCATACAGTACGGTACTCGAAGTACGATACCAATATCCATCCATATACGAAGCATTGAGGCAGAAAAAAAGAAAAGAAAAAAAAGTCGCCATCGGCCATACCCGTCAAAATAACCTGGCGATGCGTTCTACGAGTACTACAGTACTTGTAGTAGTACGGTAGGCAAACAGCCCCAAGTCCTGATTAAACGACACTCTCCTGATTCCGGAAACGGAAATGGTTGTGGGGCTACAGTTCACAATCAAGCACCCGCCTGGAGAGGTTCTGGTGCCTAGTCTACTCGTACCCTTTTCTGGAGTTGATTTGAAGCGGTTTGGTCCGTTCATTGCCCCGTATGATGATGATGTATTTATATTTAGAATGGCCCAAACTTCCAACGCTGGTATTGCAAAGGTTCTGCGCACTCCGTCTTGCTCGCTGTGCCGCTGATTGTTTCGCTTGAGAGCACAAAGTGGCGCTCCATCCCGTATTCGAATTTCCCGGCGGCCATTGTTCTTTTTCCATACAGTACGAGTAGGGTAGACACTCGTGTGGTACAGTGTCATAAATAAAGCTCACGGAATGAATGGCGTGAGGTTGTAGTCTACAAGTACTCGAGTACTCGTACTGTAGGGTACTGCACTCGTATGAGAACAGGCTTTTTTAGTTTTTATTTTTCTTTGTTTCGAAAAGGGGGGGGGGTGGCTGAATGACTCCAAAGGTACTCGTACCGGCAACCCGCAGTATCAACTACCGGTAGGCTGCTACGGCACTGCACCAGGTACAGTACTACTACTCGAGTACATTGCTGCCGCCTGTGGACCAGTGCTGTGCGCGGTCACATAGCGGCTTTTACTCGAGTAAAAAATAATAAACCCTTTAACGGGGAGATGAGAATCCCGGGCTGGCAAACAAAGGTTAATTAGAGTTCTGTATGGGTACAGCGCTGTACGGTAGGGGCACGCCGCGCTCACCTTTTTCAGCACAGAAGCCATGGGATTGTCCCTGATACCCGGTACAAGTACGGTACTCCGGAAAGGCAGGAGTGGGGGCGTGAGGACGAGGCGGGTGTCGAGTGTAACCATTCGCCAAAGATTGGTTCCTCGCGCACCGGCAAGGTATTATTGTTTGGCCATCTGTCGGTCCTGTGTACTAGGCCATCCGGAATTCCGGCCACAAACCGTGGTGAAGCGCTGTGCTATTGCGTGCCCTGATCCTGCTCGTACTGTACCATGGCCGTTTCCCGGTCGTGGTCCCATGAGGCATAAGAGATCACTGGACCGGGGAACTCCTCCCAGAAAGACGGACCGGTTCTGGTATGATAGGCCTCCTGGTCTTCCAAAACCACTTGCTGCCTGCGTCCCGCTTGTGGGGCAGCCAGGCACTGCTCTCCAATTCGAATTCGCGTGCGGGAACAGGTGTTACACACACCAAAACCCCTCGACCCGAGAGACCCGCATGAAGGGTTTTTCGACAGCGGGGCTGAGTGCCTCTGAAAAGCGGGTCAATAGGAACCAGAATCAACCCTACCCCGCCACGGGAGCAGTTACGAGTAAATTACCCTCCCCTATCGGAAAGCGAGACACCAGCCATATCATGATCCTACTTGGGGCGTGAGCCTACGTGGGGCGAGCTCGAATATCACTGGCCAGTATTCCGAGCATCATATGCAGCCAGACGAACGGTCGGCCTAGGGCGGAAAAAAAAGAAGGTCGGGCGAACTCTGCTGCTACTGTGCTCTAGCCACAGCACCCTCGCTACCCGTACCGGTGCTCGAGGTGTCGAAGCGTCTAAAAAAGGGCTACGAGTGCTACTGCTATTGCGTGCCACGAGAATTTGGTGTTTCCGCCTGGACCCGGGTTGTGTGCAATATCGGTTCTTTCTATAACAACATTTCCACACTGCCTGCCCTCGAGTATGATATTCGACACTTTGACGCACAATGGACTGGGGAGAAAACGAGGGTAGCCCCGCCCCGCTCACCCTTCATCCCTGGCACAGCAGAGAAAACCGTGACCATCGCCGCCCCCGAACAAACGAGGCGGAGACGGGTTAACGTGCAATGCAAGAACCCAAAAAAACAAACCGATTCGCAATCAAAGTGCGGGCAGTAGTGATGGCTTTCGACGAGTACAAGTATATTCCTCGGCTTGTGCCGATAACCCCCCCGGTGCCAATTAAGAATCCCCGCAACAGAATCCTCGGGTCCAGTTAATGGGGGCCATAACCGCCTCACCTGGAAATGTGATACGTTATCCTCGACCCCCCCCGTCTCGCTCCCCTGCCTTGTTACTGTAGCTCGGCTGACCTGCAGGGCTGATGAGGACTCAGAATTGGGTGCGCTGGATCCTGCCGTTCCTGCAATGTCGCTGCTGGGGAATGCCGGCATGGTATCATACGCTTCTCGTACTCGAGTGGTGTACTCGAGTACGGGTGCTATGCTCTACCCTACAAGTACTGTGCTGCACTGTGCTACCTGTTGTCAAGAATTCGGTTGAGCCCTATAGCACAATGCGACACTCATCTATTTGTCGCTTTCCCCGTGGGAGTCTACAACTACCGTATAACCCTCCCTCCCTCCCTCCCTCCCCCTCCCCTCCCCTCCCACAAAATCCGACAAACCGGCGATAATGACCAAATGCTCGACAATATAACGGTCCTCAGTATCGGGTACGTCTCCTGCGCGATATGCTTCATTATAATCATCACACGACTAGGCTCCGCCTACCGCAAGTTCGGGACATGGGCGCTCGATGATTACTGGATGGTCAGCGCGCTGGCCGTCCTGATCGTGCGAATGACGGTGATACACTTGGTGATTGTGAATGGCACCAATAACGTGCATGGCCTCACTAGCGAGCTGAGCGATGAGGAAAGGCGTAGGAGGGAGTTTGGGAGCAAGCTGGTACTCATTGGGAGGTCCTGTTATGCCATTTTGTGAGTGCTCTGGCCGGCATGTGGCGACGGTGATCGTGGGGCGGGAGCTGATACGAGGGGGGAGGGTAGTATCTGGTGTATGAAATTTGGGATCGCCTCGTTTTATGCGAGGATTGTGGCCCAATTGGAGGAGTACCGGGTTTGGTTGAAGTACGTTTGGGTGTTGCTGGGCCTGACGTTGGTCGGGGCGCTGTGCTCGACGTTTTTGGAGTGCAGGCCTATTGATCAGTAGGTTTTTTTTTTCATTCCTGCCTCTCTGTTCGATTGCCGATACTGCGCGATTGGGAGCTAATCTTTGGTAGTTATTGTGAGAACCATCGTCAAGTAAACCTTTCACGTGTAAACCTGGCTAATTTTCTCCAGGGCAAGTTTCTCCCGATCCAGGGGGTAAGTTCCCCTCCCCCCAGTGGTTCATGTGAATATCAAATGCTGATAACCATCAGAGGCATGTAACTTCTCCGAAGTCCAACTCTTCACAACAGGTCCCCCTCCCCCTCCCATCACCATCCATCACCCACACTGACCAAAGACAAACAAGGGGCCTGCAACATATTTACCGACCTGGTCTTGATAATCTTCCCACTGCCGGTGATACTCGGCACCCAGCTCCCTCTTCGACGTAAACTCCAAATCGGCGGTCTCTTCTCCCTCGGCTTCTTGGTGATCCTGGTCAGCGTTTTCCGATTGCCATATGTGGTGGAGAATAACGCGATCCAGCGGTGGAGATCTCTTGTTTTACCCCCCTTTCCTCCTCTTCCGCCGGTTCAGGGACATAATTGTTGACGTTTTTGGGTAGTTCGCGTCGATAGAAATTCTAGTGGCCTGCTTCGTAGCAAACGCACCAGCCCTGTACAGGACCATTGGTGTGCGGACGAATGCTAGTTCTGCTGCCAGATCTTCCGGTGAAGGTGAGCGGGGGTGGTACTTGTTCACGGTGAACAAGAGGAAGATTGGGGTGAGGGTCCTACCCACTACCGGTACTACCACTCGCGGAGAGGAGCGGGAGGAAAGTGAAGGTGCGGCGGAGGTGAATGCTGGTATGTAAGCTGGTTCACGATAGATGCGACGCGTAACTTGGCGTATATCATGGCTGACTTGGGGGTGACCCAATCGATTATAGAGGAACATGTATAGCGCGGTTTGATGAGATTATGGTGTCAAGATACCGGCGGCGGAGGGGGGGGGGGTTTCCAGGTGTTAATTTTGTTTTAAAATTCTATCCTGTTTTCCGTGCATGTATCTATCATATAATACGGCGTTCGAGGGTAAGTTTTGGATTGTAGGATTCGAAAGGAATTGTTGGGACACGGCCGATGCGACTTGGGGCGGCGCGCTGCATCATAAATTTATGACACCGCAGTATTGGGATAGACAAGCCCGCCGCAAGTGCGGGCCCGGTCCAGAAGAGCACGGCACGATTGGGTAAGGCTTCCCATTCATTGTCTGTCACGAATTCGGAAGAAGGCACCACCATTTCAACCTTTCACGGTTTTGACATTTCATCTCTGCGCGCAGGTGCCTGTGCAAGTGCCCGCTAAAGTATCGTAAGGGCTAATGATGGATGGTTTACCCTCCAAGCAATCCCTATCCTATGAAAACATCCCCCCGTTGCCCCCGCCAACGTCAGGCGAAACTTTCCAGGGAATGCCGCACTCACATACTCGAGCGCGGCACGGTACTCGCAGCAGGGAAGAAGCATGCTTCCCGGAAACGGATCGCGAATTGGCATCGGCCTTCTCCTAAGCATGAATTTTGCAGTCAGATACGAGTAGGGTACTAGTACGAGTACAGATGGCGTACAAGGGTCAGGCATATATATTCACGGTACTTGTACAAGTACTCGAGTACAGCGGCAGGGATAGTGGGTGTCTGTTTGGACAAAGTCGAAGCAGGCAGCATAATGGGTGTGTTGAGAAAAAAATTTATCGGCGATGTTTGCACCCGTACCCGGCGGCACGGAGTACCGTACAGTACAGTATCTGGAAATGAGCCAGCTTCTTTATGCTGGTGGAGTGGTTATGCAGCACAAGCCGTATTTTAAGATGCGGTTACCGGTGCTCGTTGTCTGATACAAGTGCTACGAGTAGTGTGCCACTGGAATCAAGTGGAGATCCTTGTTACTGCACTATTACTAGTACTTTCTATTCGGGTGCAAGTGCTTCTACCATGACCAAATGCCTGGCCTTTGAATTTACGAATCCCTGTGTTTGAGTGCAACTGTCATACCGGTACTCCTTGCCACTGTGAGCACCCGAGCACTTGACACAAGCTCCCCAGGGAGAGACGGAAACGATGTATCGCTTGCTAGACCATCTGCTCCCTTTGATACGATGGCAGTCTTCCAGTAAGGTGCAGACTACAAGTAAGCTACCATCACTAGAATACTCATCTGTTGTCCTCCCCTCTCACTTCTCTTTTCTTCCCTCCTTCCCTCTTCCCTCCTCTTTTCCACCCAGCCTACTAGGAACGACAGCCTGTCACTGTAGTTGGCGAGTGTGAGAGATCATGGTAGAGGGAAAGGGAGAGTGGGGGATCTGCGTTGATCCTGTCACGGATCCACATTAATTTTGCCCTTTTATACTGCACGAGGACAAGGAGGGCTACCGGTGCGGTAGTGTAATAACTTTCTCATTCGCTCGATCGAGCACCCGTGCTGCTGAGTGGCTTGCGCTACTAATCAGTTTTGTCGTTTATGATGCTTCCCAAATGTAACGAGCAAACTTTTTCTTCCTTTCTTTTCTTTTCTTTCGTGTTCGCAGAGTGAGTTTTTATCGCTTCTTGAGCGGGTTCGATCCCAAACCTACTGGGGAGCTCTGGCACTGTAATTTTTCCCATACAAGTATCATAGGTTTTAAGTTATGATTCTTTACCGCTCGCGTGTTAAGGGGCCAGGTGACGAATGTTTCGAATAAACCCGCGCCGTTCGATTCTACAGCGGGTCCGAGTTCGCGATTAGCTACCGTATAGTACCGGCAGTCCAGGGGAACACCACTATGCATAATGGCGAAAACACGTACGATGAGAAATTTCTGCTCCCAGTTTATTTTCTTCCCCCTTTCACCGACCAAAGTTTGGCGGATTCGACCATACCTAGAGCTACAGTACGGCAACGCATAACTTACTGTGCTGGAATGCAATTTCGAGAGGAGGGGGAAGGCCAAGCGAACCCTCGGCCACTCCTGCCTGCCACAACGGCCCGTACCGGCCTATCGAGGAAATGTTCGCTGATCCGGAGATTATCCCGGCCGGACTTCTCTCCGACATCCAGGATGATTCTTGTAACGGGGTGGGGGAAGAGAGGTGCCGTACGGTTAACCTCATCCAACTTGGCCCACACACTTCCTATCGCCGAACAGCGAGGAATAAATAGCATTGCTTTTTTGCCTTTGACAACACCCCTCCGGAATGCTTAAATTGTGATATAATAGAAATTTTCAACCTACCGTGCTGTTCCCAAGAACCCAGCATTGGGGTATGGATAGGGGTATCTGAGTGGAGAAGCGTGAATAAATAGAGAAATAAATGGATTGTATTTATTGGATAGCTAGCCTGATTCTCTCGGACCTGTGATATAAATCTTTTCTCGGATCCCCCGCATGCTGAATTCGGAGGGAGCTAACGAGACAAGTACAATGGTAGCTTCTGGGAATCCGTGGATTTTGGGTCTGGCAAAGTGTTAGGCTTTCTGAACAGGACGCTGGGAGCAGTCTTCCCGATTGCCTTGCTCTCCGCGTTCTGTGGCTAGTAATACGAGTACGGTGGCTCACTGAACTGCCGTTGCGGATGCAAGAGTGCTTCTGGCATTAGGATAGTGGTGCGTCTCCGTGATAAGTGCAGCCCTAGCGGTCAGCTGATCGCAGAAGCTCCTCTGGGTCACCTGCGGTACCGGTACCCTATCCTCTTAGTGTTGTGACATTTGTGGAAGGATCGCTATCGCATAAGTTACAAGTACCGTTAGATGTAGAATACCGGCAGTCGAGAACCTCGCCAAGACGTTGCGGTTGCCTCTCCCGCTACAATACATTTACTTTACCTTATTGACCTTCCCAGTAGCCTCTGTTGCGTTTCTCCTTCACGGTATTCGCCTCAACCGAGTATCGAAAGAGGACCTTCTACGAGTGCCTTTCCCCCCTAATCCGAAGAGGGAAATTCTGGACGTCCTGCCCCGCCGCCATTCTTAATTATTATCATACCCGTACTGTCTCTACCGTGCCACCAATATTTCCAAACCCTCTGTCAGATTTTTTTGGGTGTATGTGATAGCTGACCTCCTCCGCAAACGCCGGGATGTTCGTTACAGGTGCGAGCGCATGAATTCCTGAATGCACCGAGCCGAGCAAAACCTTGCTCTCCGTTCACGCTGACTGGCGATCGAACGGCGTTTTTGAACGCGGCTGCTGTTGCATACCGACCCAATTCCGCTTGTTTCCCTTCCTTAGGTCTTGGAGTGGTGCAATGGTGGCCGTGCTCACAAGCGGTACGAGTGAATGGTCCGGGAACAGCGGGTTTATTGCACATGCAGTGTTTTCCCCGCATTGCAAGTCCCAGGGATAGATGGGGAACGATGGTGCACGAGGTGGTTGGATTCATGACCCGGGGTCGAAAGAAAACTCTTGATTCCAATGTCAATGTTCGCTGACTTATCCAGTATATAGAAAAACTGCGTCTCGTGGCTTTCACCGGCGGGGTGTCTTCCTCCTGCCCGTCAACCACAATTACAGCATCACTCTCCATGCTTATCCGGCGAATAATCTCGGATTGTTTATATACTCGAGCACTGTACTGTACCCTAAGTACCGTACATCAGCTAGCGTGAATTTCTCATCTTGCTGCAACTACCAATCCCACTACTTTTCTCAATAGTTCAACTAGTTCTCAACACCCATGCCAGAGCCTCAACCCCCTGTGGAAAAGGGGGGGGGGGGGGGGCGTGAGGGGCATTCCTGGCAAATGAGGGAACAAAGTTTTGGCGATTCGTTTGAAACGGAAACTTTCGCGTTGCTCTTGGCTTTGGGGCCTTGGTATCACATCGGGATGTCAACTCGAGCTGATGTCCCTAAGGTCCCGCATTACTGCATGAATATCATACAGGGATGATGGCTGTTCGATATCTCGGCGCAATGGCGCTGGGATACTGCCACAGCTCTCAAAATGGGGCAATACCGGTATTTCCTATACAGCGATTTCCTCCGTGGCCGAAGAACTACTGTGGAGGGGCGGTATGATACCTTGGAGGTTTGGTGCTCACGGGGGTTGTGGGAGTATGATGACCCGATCGGCTGAGAACCTAGTTATTAGGCGCCTTCCAACCTTGGGTAGGATTTTGATGGGTTAGGGATGGTTTTTCCACCGGTGCTGCAAGGTTCGAACTACCATTCCCATTCGAATAGTAAGCACGGATGAGCGTCCGGAGAGGAAGGAAGGGAACCTGGTGTATTTCCTAGAAATAACTGAAGTTGTATAAGTGGAGAATCCCGGGTGATACATGCCCGCTAGGCGTTTCTTGTAGTTCATCCAAAGTAGGGCATTCAAAAATACGTATAACAATATTATGGTATATTTACCATCTCATTTTATAAAATGCAATAATAATATTATGATACATACTTATTCTGAAATTCATAATCCTAATACGCCTGCCCTAATTAGCAAAGTACTATTAAACTGTTGATAAACAGGGGTTTTGACAGCTTTTTCCTATGTATGTAGATTGGACCTACTAGCTTATAGACTAAATATTTCTATCAAATTTGAACTCTGTAAATGAAGAGGAGGAGAGCGCGATTTGGTAAATGGCAATCAATCTTCTGGTATTAATTATAATGTAGTGCATGCCATCTAGACACAGAACAGAGTGGGACGCAATGGGGGACGCAATGGGGAATGTAACAGGAAGCACTTTAACAAAGTTAGAACAGGACAATAGTGCACATACTTAGGGTTAATTAACATGGTTCAAATAGTATAACATAGTTGAAATAATAAATTTCCCAGATCCTCTCTTGCTGAGGGGAATTGTAATAATACTAGCTCTTTGATATTTGCTTAGCAGATATAAGGCTATTATTCTCTTGCTGAAAAGCACTCAATCTATTAGATTCTATTATTAACGTCAAATACTGGGTAATGACACAATACCGGGATATGATACTGTCTCAGAGCACGCAATTACTGTAGTTGTTATAGCATTGACTGGAGTCCTGGGAGCCCGGTCATGGACTGATTTAGACAAAATGGAAACTAAGTGAACACCAATAAGAGAAGAAACAATTAATCCTGAGAGAAAGAGAACATGGACCTAGGAAATGTTAGTAAAGGTAGATATTAGGGGTAGGATGAGGGAATGAGGAGGGGGGGCATACTTGTAACTAAACAGAAGATTATATAAAAGGAAGAGGCCGAGAGCGTAAACGCATGGTAAAAGCAGGAAGGGGAAGCAGTGGAGAAGGTAGATGGGAATAATCTGGGCTATGAGGATGAAAAGTGGGTGAATAGGGACTTTTGGCAGCCCACTCTGAGTCGCTGAGTTCTTCAATATCGGCTTCAGAACAATTGTCATTGTCGGAATCGATAACTAGAACTAATGGAGTTGTAGCAATCGTAACTCTTTTGGTCTGAGGGCCTCGTGGCTGCGGAGTAGATTCAGTTGATATGATTGCTGGGTTTTTCGTCACCGGTATTGCTGCTTTCCTAGTAGGTTTTACAGCCCGAATTGTAGAGTGTTTGCGAACCATGGCTCTCCCTGCTGGAGTTTTTTTCTTGTCTTTTGCTAAACGGGCATCTTGAAGCCGTATCAGTTCTGCGCCACCCAGAACTCATGCCTCACTCAGCTTTCTTCTATCTGTATCGTTATACAGTTTC